CAAAAACTAAAATAATTATAATAAAAAAAACTTTTGAAAAATAATAATTTCGAGAAGTAACAATTTTATTAAAATTAACAAAGAGAATAATTTTATTAAATGACACTTTTAATAAAATTAAAAATAAAATTTTTATAATAACAAAAACTAAAATAATTATAATAAAAAAAACTTTTGAAAAATGATAATTTCGAGAAGTAACAGTTTTATTAAAATTAACAAAGAGAATAATTTTATTAAATGATACTTTTAATAAAATTAAAAATAAAATTTTTATAACAACAAAAACTAAAATAACAATTTTAATTAAAACTTTTGAAAAATAATAATTTCGAGAAGTAACAGTTTTATTAAAATTAACAAAGAGAATAATTTTATTAAATGACACTTTTAATAAAATTAAAAATAAAATTTTTATAATAACAAAAACTAAAATAATAATTATAATAAAAAAAACTTTTGGAAAATAATAATTTCGAGAAGTAACAGTCTTATTAAAATTAACAAAGAGAATAATTTTATTACATGACACTTTTAATAAAATTAAAAATAAAATTTTTATAATAACAAAAATTAAAATAATAATTTTAATAAAAAAACTTTTGAAAAATAATAATTTCGAGAAGTAACAATTTTATTAAAATTAACAAAGAGAATAATTTTATTAAATGACACTTTTACTAAAATTAAAAATAAAATTTTTATAATAACAAAAAATAAAATAACAATTTCAATAAAAACTTTTGAAAAATAATAATTTCGAGAAGTAACAGTCTTATTAAAATTAACAAAGAGAATAATTTTATTAAATGACACTTTTAATAAAATTAAAAAAAAAAAATTTATAATTACAAAAACTAAAATAATAATTATAATAAAAAAAACTTTTGGAAAATAATAATTTCGAGAAGTAACAATTTTATTAAAATTAACAAAGAGAATAATTTTATTACATGACACTTTTAATAAAATTAAAAATAAAATTTTTATAATAACAAAAATTAAAATAATAATTTTAATAAAAAAACTTTTGAAAAATAATAATTTCGAGAAGTAACAATTTTATTAAAATTAACAAAGAGAATAATTTTATTAAATGACACTTTTACTAAAATTAAAAATAAAATTTTTATAATAACAAAAACTAAAATAACAATTTTAATAAAAATTTTGAAAAATAATAATTTCGAGAAGTAACAGTTTTATTAAAATTAACAAAGAGAATAATTTTATTAAATGACATTTTTAATAAAATTAAAAAAAAAATTTTTATAATAACAAAAACTAAAATAATAATTATAATAAAAGAAACTTTTGGAAAATAATAATTTCGAGAAGTAACAATTTTATTAAAATTAACAAAGAGAATAATTTTATTACATGACACTTTTAATAAAATTAAAAATAAAATTTTTATAATAACAAAAACTAAAATAACAATTTTAATAAAAATTTTGAAAAATAATAATTTCGAGAAGTAACAGTTTTATTAAAATTAACAAAGAGAATAATTTTATTAAATGACATTTTTAATAAAATTAAAAAAAAAATTTTTATAATAACAAAAACTAAAATAATAATTATAATAAAAGAAACTTTTGGAAAATAATAATTTCGAGAAGTAACAATTTTATTAAAATTAACAAAGAGAATAATTTTATTACATGACACTTTTAATAAAATTAAAAATAAAATTTTTATAATAACAAAAACTAAAATAATAATTTAAAAAAAAAAACTTTTGAAAAATAATAATTTCGAGAAGTAACAAATTTATTAAAATTAACAAAGAGAATAATTTTATTAAATGACACTTTTAATAAAATTAAAAATAAAATTTTTATAATAACAAAAACTAAAATAACAATTTTTGTCTACGCGCACACCTTTTGATAGTCCTTTGTGCACGTGAGAATTTACTCTCGTTAATTTAATAAAGAGAGACGTCAATTTTAAAAGAAATAGAGGATTAGATTCAAATACTACAAAGTTACAATTATTTATTTATTTGAAAGAATTGCCACTCCACATGTTTTTTTTCTCACAAATTTTACAAATATTATAATTGAATAAAAGTCCATTTAGTTAGTCAGCCGTGAGAGCACTAGCTCGTCGTCTTACAAATTTCAGCAATCGCTGTTCGTCGGTCTTATTCGATTTTATTCGTCATTCACGAAGTCCTCATGCTTATATTTTCACTTCGCAACATACAGCCCGTCTTGAACTATCTTGTTCAATTATTACAATCAATCGGCAAAGGTGAAATTTTTTTCACGCCTCGTTTTAGTATACCATTTTGGGTTTTTACGTCTACAACTCTGATCACACCATCCTCGCCAGGATACAATTTCACAATTCTGCCCAGATTCCAACGCAACGGTGGCAGATTTTCGTCTTTTAACAAAACTAACATATTTAATTTTATTAATTCTCCGGAACCCGTGTTCCATTTACTTCTCGTGTTCAATTCATTAAGATATTCATTACTCCAACGTTTCCCCCAAATTTCGCTTCATGTGATTTTTGACAGACTTTACCGCAGCCTCCCAAACTCCGCCAAAATGTGGTGTTCGCGGGGGGGCAAAGTGTCATTCAATTGCATTATCGCTCAGAAAATGTTCGAATTTTTCTTTATATTCTACTGACAAGTAACACTACCCAACTGTTAATCACCGATTTTGATGAAACTTGTCACACTTCTAGAACATGGAAAAATATTGAACACGTATTTTTTTATATCGGCCCGTTTTGAGTTTTAAGGGTAGAAAACACCCTTTTTCAATTTAAGGGATGAAAAGCAGTATTTCATACGGAATTTACTAGATTTGCTTGAAACCTATTACTCGGGGGTTTTCGAGGTCGCTGATTACGAACCTGAAGTCAGATTTTAAAAATTCAAAATGGCGGATGCAATATGGCGGACAATAAAATAAAAAATTAATCGGATTTGATTGAAACTCGTTAGTCGGGGGTTTTTGAGGTCACCCATTACGAATCTGATATCAGTCGGGTAGTTGATTACGAATACGGTGTCAATTTTTAAAAATTCAATGTGGCGGATCCAATATGGCGGACAATAAAATTGAAATTCACTCGAATTTACTTGAAACTCATTACTCGGGGGTTTTTGTGATCGCTGATTACGAATTTGAAGTCAGATTTAAAAAATTGAAAATGGCAGCTCCAAAATGACAGACAACTTTTTAAAAAATTCATTGCGTTCGCTTAAAACTTATAACTCGGGGGTTTTTGGTGTCGCTGATTACGCATCCGATGTTAGTTGTTTAAAATTCAAAATTATGGATCCAACATATTCAATAAAGCCATTATTATAAAGACAAGATCTAATACTGCGACCAACAAATGCAAGATATGATAAACGAACCAACAAAGGTAAAAAGCAATAATCCAACCAGTAAAGCCGAGATGTAATAATCCAACCAGTAATGGCAAGATGTGATAATCCAACCATCAAAGGTAAGAAGCAATAATCCAACCAACAAGGGTAAGAAGCAATAATCCAACCAGTAAAGGCAAGAAGCAATAATCCAACCAGTAAAGGCAAGAAGCAATAATCCAACCAACAAAGGCAAGAAGCAATAATCCAACCAGTAAAGGCAAGATGTGATAATCCAACCAACAAAGGTAAGAATTATTGCTTCTTACCTTTGATGGTTGGATTATTGCTTCCTGCCTTTACTGGTTGGATTATCACATCTTGCCATTACTGGTTGGATTATCACATCTCGCTTTTACTGGTTGGATAATTGCTTCTTGCCTTTACTGGTTGGATTATTGCTTCTTGCCTTTACTGGTTGGATTATTGCTTCTTACCCTTGTTGGTTGGATTATTGCTTCTTACCTTTGATGGTTGGATTATCACATCTTGCCATTACTGGTTGGATTATCACATCTCGGCTTTACTGGTTGGATTATTGCTTTTTACCTTTGTTGGTTCGTTTATCATATCTTGCATTTGTTGGTCGCAGTATTAGATCTTGTCTTTATAATAATGGCTTTATTGAATATGTTGGATCCATAATTTTGAATTTTAAACAACTAACATCGGATGCGTAATCAGCGACACCAAAAACCCCCGAGTTATAAGTTTTAAGCGAACGCAATGAATTTTTTAAAAAGTTGTCTGTCATTTTGGAGCTGCCATTTTGAATTTTTTAAATCTGACTTCAAATTCGTAATCAGCGATCCCAAAAACCCCCGAGTAATGAGTTTCAAGTAAATTCGAGTGAATTTCAATTTTATTGTCCGCCATATTGGATCCGCCACATTGAATTTTTAAAAATTGACACCATATTCGTAATCAACTACCCGACTGATATCAGATTCGTAATGGGTGACCTCAAAAACCCCCGACTAACGAGTTTCAATCAAATCCGATTAATTTTTTATTTTATTGTCCGCCATATTGCATCCGCCATTTTGAATTTTTAAAATCTGACTTCAGGTTCGTAATCAGCGACCTCGAAAACCCCCGAGTAATAGGTTTCAAGCAAATCTAGTAAATTCCGTATGAAATACTGCTTTTCATCCCTTAAATTGAAAAAGGGTGTTTTCTACCCTTAAAACTCAAAACGGGCCGATATAAAAAAATACGTGTTCAATATTTTTCCATGTTCTAGAAGTGTGACAAGTTTCATCAAAATCGGTGATTAACAGTTGGGTAGTGTTACTTGTGAGTTTAGGAAACTATAAAGCTCATTCAATTTATTATTCGCTCCCACAAAATTAAGGCCATTATCCGAATAAATTGCTCTACTTTTTCCCCTTCTCGCGAAAAAACGCCGCAATCCTTCTAAAAAGAGATCAGTTGTTAAGTCACTAATTAATTCTATATGAATCGCTTTCGTGGACAAACAAATAAATATTGCCGCGTAAACTTTTATTTTATTTTTATTTCGAAATCGTTTTTCTTTTATGAAAAAAGGTCCACAGTAGTCAACACCGGTCATTTCAAAGGGTTGCGCAGCTGTTACTCTTACTTTGGGAAGATTTCCCATAATATAATTTACATCTCTCGGTTTAGCACGGAAACACTTAACGCAATTATGTACAATTTTTTTCACAGACGATCTTCCATCCACCGGCCAATAATTTAGTCTCAATGCGTACAACGTCGCATTTATTCCCGCGTGTAATTGTTTTTCATGGGTGTGACGAATCAAGAGGTCGGTAAAAGGATGTTTTCCGGGTAAAAGGATAGGACATTTTTTATTATGCTCAAGATCAGCGTGTCGAATCCTTCCTCCGACTCTGAGCAGTCCATTCTTGATGAGGGGATTCAATCTGCGAAGCTTCGATGTTTTAGATACAGTCTCTTTTTTTCTTATTCTTTCGATCTCGTCTTGAAATTCTTCTCTCTGGACCAAAACAATCATTTTATTCAAAGCCTGATGCAACTCGTCACTGGATAAAAATTCTGAATATTGCGTTTGCCCGCGTGTTTTTTGCGTAAATCTCAAGCAATACGCGAATACTCGCAGAAATTTAGTAAATGATGAAATTCGATCCCACAGCATTTGACCTTGATAACCACTTTCAAGGTCGTTATTTTCTTTTCGGGAATATCAATTTCTTCCAACTCATGATTTGGCCAGAATGATTTATCCCGACGAAGCCACGATGGACCATTTTTCCATTGGTCGTTGTTGATGAATTCCTCCGGAAGCTGACCTCTGGAGACGTGATCAGCCGGGTTTTCAGCTGACGAAACATGTTTCCATTTAGATGATGATATTAATTCCTGTATTGCTGAGACCCTGTTGGCGATGAAGGTTTTCAATATGTGAGGAGAAGAATTGATCCACGCGAGAGCTATTGTTGAATCTGACCAGAATCTCACGAACTCAAATTTCAACCTCAATGAATTGTTTACAACCTTATACAGTCTTGCCAGCAATAATGCAGAGCAGAGCTCAAGTCGAGGTAAACTTACTGATTTTAGCGGAGCTACTCGTGATTTTGAACACAGCAGGATTGAGTGATGTTGATCCTGCAGTGTCCAGCGAACATAAAAACATGCTCCGTAAGCTTTTTCGCTCGCATCCGCAAATCCATGCAGCTGCAAGTCCTGTACTCCTGTCCGTCGAATTGCTCTAGGGATCCTCCACCGACCCAATGTAGGCAATTGTTTGAGATACTCCCCCCAGGTCGCAACTATTTGCTCCGGTACCGGATCATCCCAGTTGATGCTCAACTTCCACAACTCCTGAAGTTGAATCTTTGCATACACCACTACTGGAGCCACAAGACCCAGCGGATCGTATAACTGAGCAGCTTGCGATAATATTGATCTCTGATACGAGATCTTGATTTCCCGATAGGTGAACGTTAAATTTCAAATCATCAGGCCTAGGTTCCCAACTTATTCCTAAAGTTTTAGTAACCTGATCAAGATCTAGTTTTATATTTACATTATTAGTCTCTTCGGAGAAGTCGTCCATTAATTCTTGACAATTTGAGATCCACTTACAAAGGCGGAGTCGCCCTCTGCTCGTCAAGCTGATCATTTCATCTCGTAGTTCTTTTGCCTCTTCAACAGATTCTCCCCCCGACAGGAAATCGTCCACATAGAAGTCTTCCCTCAAAGCATCTGCAGCTCTTGGAAAGTTTGCTCCTTCATCCTCAGCTAGTTGTCTCAAGCAGCGTACAGCCAAAAATGGTGCTGAGGCGGTACCATAGGTAATTGTCTTCAATTCGTAAGTTCGCAGTGGTTCGTTCGTGTTGTATCGCCATATTATTCGTTGAAATTTTCTGTCATCTGGATGGACCCAAAATTGGCGAAACATTTTCTCCACATCAGCACTCACAGCTACTGGATGTTGCCGAAAGCGCAGAATCAGGAAAAACAAGGTACCTTGAACGCTTGGTCCCACCAACATCGCCTCGTTGAGTGAAATTCCAGTTGTTGTTTTGGCGGAAGCGTCAAAGACCACTCTGAGTTTAGTCGTAAGGCTGCTCTCCCTGATGACAGCTTGGTGTGGCATATAATAGCCGTCCTCCTTTATTTCGTTAATCGCTTCCATATGGCCTAGTTCTTCAAATTGTTTCATAAAAGTAATATAATTTTCTTTCAGATTCGCATCCTTTTGCAGTTTTCTTTCCAAAGCAAAAAATCGACGTTTGGCTGCAGCAAAAGATGGACCCAATTCTTCAATTTTCTTGTTGAAGGGCAACCGCACGATGTACTTTCCTTCCAAATCGCGTCCTACATTTGCAGAAAAATGCTCCTCGCATTCCTTTTCTTCTTTAGACAGATGTACTTTATCACCGTAATTTTCCATTGTCCAGAATTTTTCCAATTTGTTGCTCAATTCGTCTCGAACCAAACAAGAAAGAACTCGATTTGAATGGTTATTTTCTCTGGTGATGATTTTTCCCGTCGCGATCCAACCTAGTTTCGTATTTTGCAACATTGTTCAAGGCTGAGCTAGCGGAATCCTTCCCACTGAAAGGAGTTCATAGAAGAGTTCCGCTCCGATGAGAGCTTCAATCTCAGCTGGCTGGAAAAATTGGGATCTGCTAATTTTATATTCTGTGGAATTTTGAGGAGAGTTTTATCAATAGGAAAGGATGGAAGATTACTCGTAATGTTTGGAAGTACTAAAAGAGAGATTCTTGTGGAATAATTAGATGACCTTGACCCAATGTTCGCCACACCCCAATTTGAACCCTTTACTTTGGTATTGTTTACGCCTTCAATTGAAGAATTATAATTTATTGGTTGAAGAGCTAGACGCTTAACTAATTCCTCGGTTATAAGATTTGGTTGAGAACCACTGTCTAACAAAACCCTGCAAGTATGTTCATTCCCATAATTATCAAAAATATTAATCAACGCCGTTGACAATAAAACTCTTGACGAATCCGCCACATGAAGAGTTTTCGGTTGAACTTGATTTTCAGAATTTTCTTTTATATCTACAAGAGCTTGAGAATTGTGCAGCAGAGTATGATGACGCTTATTGCATAAAGTACAATTGCCTGATTTGCAATCACTCAATAAGTGATTCCTTCTCAAACAATTGTAGCAAAGGCCTTTCTTTCTCACCAGTTCCTTTTTTTCTCGAATGGCATATTTTTAAAATCTGGACATTGATTTATAAAATGTTCTTTGTTACAAACTAAACATCGTACTGAGGAATTGGTGTTCAAAAAAGACCTTGTATTACTACTTTTATTAGAGTTGCCTGAATGTTTATTTACATTAGAGTTTGAACTCTCGACTGAACCCGCAATCAACGCCTCCAACATTTGACACCTTTGATTTAAAAATTTTGTTAACTCTTCAAACGTTGTCATTCTGTCTCGTACAGTTAGTTTCTCCCACTCCCTTCGCGTTTCTTTATCTACTTTCGAAATTATTAAATAAATTAAAGGAGTGTCCCATGAGTCGATAGGCTGTTCGAGAACTCCTAAAGCCCGCACGTGTCTCTGAGATGTATCGAGCAGCTGTCGCAGACCGGCAGACGTTTCTTTATTCAAAGTTGTCAATTCAAACAAGGCTTGCATATGATTTTGTATGATTAATCGCTGATTGTTATATCGGTCTTTAAGAAGCCGCCACGCTACATTATAATTTCTCTCAGAAGTTTCTATATTTTCAATTATGCGAATTGCATCGCCTTTTAAATAACTTCGCAAAAAACGAAGTTTTTGAACTTTAGGAATAGAATTATCGTTACCAATGATTGCATCGAAGGAGTCCCGAAAGCCTAACCACTCATCATATGCTCCTGAAAATGTTGGCAAGTCACGCTTTGGCAGCGGAAAGTGCGTACGTACAGTATGGGTATCGAAAGTGGGGGTTCTAGCAACCACTTCTCTTAATGCTTGAAGTTCTGATTCGCGACGTGTTTCAAGCTCCGCCTCAAGCTGCGCGATTCTATTACTCTGTTCTACTGATCCAGACCCAGATCCGTTCACATTTATCATATTAGAATGATTTCGATTCTCTACTTGTAATATAAATGATTTTGCTATTGATACGATTTTAAAATAATTATTTTCAAATTCATTTGTTTCATGCTCCCGTTCTGGGTTGGGTACTAACAAATTTAATGTAGCTTGAGATTCTTCAAAAGTTGTCCACGCTGTCTCGATTTTTTCTAAACGTAATTTAATTTCAATAACATCTGATTCATTTATATCATTTAACGCAAATCTGTCAAGGTATGTTTTGAATTTTGTAAGTCTAGTTTTCGAATTTGTTCTGTTTATTCTAGCTCTACCAACCTCAGACATATTTATAATTAATTTCTACAGCAATAATACTAACTTACTTGTTTACAAAGATGTTTATTATAATATTTACAATTACGACCTTTTCGTTCGACGACGACCCTGATGAATTTGCGATGTCTTCAATTGATGATTATATTCCAAGATTAGTATAAAATACTCCGTTTTAAAGATTTATAAATTCTAGTTATGATATAGTATTTTACTTTCTTGATCGATATGTCCTCTCCAGAATGGTTGGCTGTTATAGTCTTATTTTCATTGAGTGCTCTCACTTATCACTGATAATCACGTTTTGCTGTTACTTTTTTTTTCGTTGTTTAATCCACAGTTCACGGTTACTTGTTTTATCCTTGCACCTATAGTTTATATGATTTTTGCAAGAATCCGGCTCGAAGGACCATGTCTACGCGCACACCTTTTGATAGTCCTTTGTGCACGTGAGAAATTACTCTCGTTAATTTAATAAAGAGAGACGTCAAATTTAAAAGAAATAGAGGATTAGATTCAAATACTACAAAGTTACAATTATTTATTTATTTGAAAGAATTGCCACTCCACATGTTTTTTTTCTCACAAATTTTACAAATATTATAATTGAATAAAAGTCCATTTAGTTAGTCAGCCGTGAGAGCACCAGCTCGTCGTCTTACAAATTTCAGCAAACGCTGTTCGTCGGTCTCATTCGATTTTATTTGTCATTCACGAAGTCCTCATGCTTATATTTTCACTTCGCAACAATTTTAATAAAAACTTTTGAAAAATAATAATTTCGAGAAGTAACAATTTTATTAAAATTAACAAAGAGAATAATGTTATTAAATGACACTTTTAATAAAATTAAGAATAAAATTTTTATAATAACAAAAACTAAAATAATAATTTTAATAAAAACTTTTGAAAAATAATAATTTCGAGAAGGAACAGTTTTATTAAAATTAACAAAGAGAATAATTTTATTAAATGACACTTTTAATAAAATTAAAAATAAAATTGTTATAATTTGGAATCCCTACCATAATTAAAATCCCCCCTAGAAATCGCACATCCACTCTTTCAGTCCAAATAGATGCCTGTAAGGAGAATCTGTAGTGATTTCCCCACTTGGAGCCCAAGTTTGTGTCCCTTCCTTGAGATAAACTTATTTTATTTCTATCTATGAAAGTGACTTAAGGAAATACATACAGAACTAAATGTAGACATTGTGATTTAGAGAAAATCAGTATTATTGAACAATAACAATTATTTTTGAAATTAATTGATATAATGGTAAAGCAGATTCAATTTATCAAAAATTAATCTTCTCCTATGATTTGATTTATGTTATTCTTTACTGTATGAACTTATACTGAACTTAAACCATTATAGCGCCTACCTAGATTTAGTTAATATTTTATATATATATTCGGCAAGATTATCGGAGTCCTATCTGTGGAATCTTTTTAAGGGGTCACTTACCTTGCAGTACAGGTAGTACTGAAGGGCAGTACAAATCATAAGGGAGATTTTGAGGTAAATCATTCACAGTAGGTCTTAAATTCTTTAAAAATGAAATTGTAATTTATGAGAATTCGGATTTAGGCGGGTTTGTTATGATGTTTCACGTGTAGCACACCAGCCGGCTTATATTGATTCGATAAAACACGAACGAAATCGATAAAAATATCGAATGACTTGCGCAGCGCTGCATAATACACTGGCGCGAAATTTAAAAGAGGGATAAAAAACAATAAATAAAATTTCATTTTTACTGGGTCCACGTGGATATTTGCTTTGACCCCCCCTCCCCCCTCGTGGACTTTTGACGAACCCCCCTCCCCCCAAAACTGTCCACGTGGTATATGGACGGCCCCTTTGCAGAAAAAATGGTTTACGTATTTTTTTTAAGTACTCAAATTTTCAAGTTATGAATTTTTAAAAATCTGAAATGGTGTTTTTAAAATTATTCTAATTTTATTTGTTCGTAAAATATTTCATTTTTTATTAATTTTTATTAATTAATTAATTATTATCTCGAAAACAAAAAATAGGATATTTGCCAAATTTGGCCCACGTCTTTGGCTCATATTAAGGAATGTTTATGAATTTTTTCAGCTTAACCCTTTAACGCCCAAATGAGCTGATTCTCGACTTGAATTTCAACCTCGTACCTTTAACAGAAAAAAATTTTTAAAATATCAGACAAATCATTTCCGACTACTTTTTTATCGCTCTTTTAAATTGCGTGGTCAAACTTATCAAAAAATAATATTCAACCCCCCTTTTTTTCAAAAGAACCCAAAAAATACAAGTTTTTGTCATTTAAAATTTTTTCAATTGCAATTCTTTCCAGTATATCATTTTTTGCTTATTCTTTAAGGTATAAAAAACGTGCTCCCGATAGCTGTACTTTAAAAATTTGCATTGCAACTTTTTATTTTTCTTTATTTTTAACTCAAAATGGCGCCTGAAAGTCAAAAATTTTTCAAAAATAATGTTTGTAAATTTCTTTTTTTCAAATTCGCTTAAATTCGTCTGAAATGTGTTACTCGGGGGTTTTCAGGGTCGCTGATTACGAATCCGATGTCAGTTTTCAAAAATTCAAAATGGCGGATCTAATATGGCGGACGATTTTTGCAAAAAATTATCGGATTCTCTTAAAACTCGTCACTTGGGGGTTTTCGGGGTCGCTGATTACGAATATGCACTTGGTTTTCAAAAATTCAAAATGGCGGATCCAATATGGCGTACGACTTTTGCAAAAAATTATCGGGTTCTCTTGAAACTCGTTACTCGGGGGTTTTCGGGGTCGCTGATTACGTATCCGATGTCAGTTTTCAAAAATTAAAAATGGTGATTTTAGTTTAATATATTTTATACTTTTGTAATAAACAATATTGGCATTTAGGGCAGTACAGTACGTTTCGATAATTAGGTCGAAGCGAACAAGTTTGTCGCACATATTTCTATTGCTTATTAAAATATAAATTCATAGTTTTTGAAATAATAATTTGTTATTACTTTTACACCATGCCACCCAAAAGAAGATCAGATTCTCTGCCTAATCAATCAATTCCATCTAAAACTTCTCGCAATAAGTCCAATGATTCGATTATTCTAAACACTCGTCGCACAAGGTCAATGGCAATCGAAATTGAAGAAATGGAAAATTTTGTTAATGCTAACATTATTCCAT